ATATTTTACTTTGAACAAAGCTAGGAATTACAGGTAGACCAATTTAATCAGCTGACCAATTATTATAGATCAATAAGAGGAAAAATGAAGATGCAGCAGCTGCTTCTACCAACTTATTGTAGCACACACTTTATTTTTTATACATATAAATGAATGTTTCAGTATATTAATGTCCGTCAGTCCGTCCGTTTTCTTCCCCTTATCTGAGGTCGGGTTGTGGGGGCAGCAGCCTAAGCAGAGAGACCCAGACTTCCCTCTCCCCAGTCACTTGGGCCAGCTCCTCTGGGGGAACTCCAAGGCGTTCCCAGGCCAGCCGAGAAAAATGTCCCTCCAGCGTGTCCTGGGTCTTCCTCGGGGCCTCCTCCCAGCGGGACGTGCCCGGAACACCTCACCAGGGAGGCGTCCAGGAGGCATCCTAACCAGATGCCCGAGCCACCTCAACTGGCTCCTCTCGACATGGAGGAGCAGCGGCTCTATGAGTCCCTCCTGGATGACCGAGCTTCTCACCCTATCTCTAAAGTAGAGCCCAGACACCCTGCGGAGGAAACTCATTTCGGCTGCTTGTATCCGCAGTCTCGTTCTTTTGATATATTATTGTGAAGACTACAATTTCTACTAAGGGTTGTTAAACAAATGTAAATTATTTAAGTTGACCTATTGTTTTTCCTTCAGCTGCTTTCTTCTGCAGGGGTCACTACGGGGAGCAAGTTTTATGTTGCACGCCTTTCGTGACACAACCTGGGCTCAAAGCCGTAACCTCAGGATTATGAGACAGCGGCACTGACCACCGAGCTACCACAGCCTCACAAAATTTAGGTTTCAGCAACAGCTGGCATAATTATGTGAAATAAAAATACAGACTGTGTTGAACAAATCTTTTACAAATCTGTTTATCATCCATTAGCTTTCCTGATTTCTAAAGCTTTGCTTCAAATGTAGAGATACTGCATTAACAGCTGTGGGGCCTTGGTCTCAGAATCCTGAGGCTGCTGGTTCGAGCCCAGGTTGCTTCAGGAAGGGCATTCAGTGGAAAACAACTGCCAAATTGTTTGTGAAACCTCTGGAGAATGGAGTAGCTTAAAGAAAAACAACTGTATATCAGGCATGAGAAAGAAGACAAATTATTTGGTAATGTAGCCATAAAAAGATGACAATTATTTTAATTGTGTCCTGCTTGGACTCATTTACGACCAAACTTGTTGCCGACTGAAAAAACATTAGCTTTAAGTGGAAATCCGTCCAGCTAAGTGTTTGTAAGCCTGAACACAAAAGTGTTTGTCTTCTATCATCTTCTGTATATAAAACCCATTATTTTGAATGTGGTCATGTCTGCTGCTTAGCCATGTGCTACACTTATTATGTTAGATTGCACATGACAAATTGTCCTTTTTACAGTTCAATCTCAGTGCTGTGTAGAGGAGAATGATAATAACAATCGTTCTTTGTTTTGTTTTTTCCAGAATGGTCTCTAGAGCCCCTCCAGATAACACAGAACCAGGAACAACTTGCTGAGAGGATGCTGCACTCGTCAAATACCAAAGTGAGATGAGGATGGGTGGTGCAGGTGTTGGCAAAAATGTTAGAGAGCTAGCTCAACTAGTTTTGGTTTGTGAGGAAGTGTAGCCGTAGACCTGTTCCACAGAATTGGAAGGATTTTCTTTTTGTTTTTTGAGATTTGTGGATTTTTCTTCCACAGTAAATATAGTAAATTTAAATAATTTAATGATGGACTGCGGTGAGAAGGTGCTGTGTGGGTCTGGAGAGGTGGATCTGGACCCAAACATTGTTAGTGAGGAGGCAGGAAAATTGTATTCAGAGCTGCAGGTAAGGGCTTGTTGTTTTCTGTTTTGATTCTTGGTAGCAAGAATGAAAATTAGTTTTTCATTGTAGTTTTCGACCCCCCCCCGCTGTAGACTGTTATTGAGACCCACGGTGAAGGTGTGGTGGAGTCCCTGGTGCCCATATTTGTGTGGGTCCTGGAGGGACTGGCCTCCTGCAAAGCCCAGCTGAGAGAAAAAGAAGATGAGGCGGAAAGGGAGAAAGCTGAGCGAGAGGAGCTGCTGGAGAGATACCAGGCAGAGAAGACGCTCAGAAAAGAGAGTCAAGAGGTGAGAAATGATCACAGGTAGTATAGTTCGAGCTTACAGGGTTAAAGTTTGTAAAATAAATTAAAATAGATGTTTACTGTGCTTAACGTGTCGCACCCCTTGTTTCTTTTAGAAATATCTGGAGCTGGATGACCAAATCGAGCAGGAACGAAGAGCCATGAGGGGGAGGGAAAAGGAGCGAGAGCGGCGAGAGAAACAGTTGGAGAAGAAAGCCAGAGAACAAGCTGACCAGTGTGAGTGTTTATCACTGAAACCCATCAAAACTTGTTTTTGTTCATGTGAATTCTCTTTTTGTTGAGTTCAGTTTTATTCATTTTACTTAATTAAAGCTCCGCTTTTTTTTTTTGTTCTCAGTGGTGGCTGTGGAGGAGCAAAAGGCAAATCTGAACAGAGAGCTGAGTACACTGAAACTTACTCACAGCAAGGTTAGATACGTCTGGATAACCCAAACACTGAAGTTTACATGCAATCATCAAGGACATGAACTCAGCTTTATTC